TCCGCTTTGATGCGTGGCGGTGGCTGGGCTGGTGCTGGGACAGGCTCGGACGGAGCAGTAGAAGCCTTGCGGCGCCCAGGGGGTGGTGGCTGCAGCTTGAACTTGAAGGGGGCAGCGCCAGGAGGCTCATCGGGGGGCTTTTCAGGGCGCTGGGGCTGGGGCACCACCAGGCCAGGGTAGTGCAGGAAGGCGCGGGGGCTGAGGTGGTAGTTGTACACGCTCTGCGTGTGCGCCTGCAGGTAGCGCTTCATGTCCTCCGGGCTGAAGGAGAAGTGGGACCCGCCGGGGAACATGGGGCTGAGGGTGGGTGAGGGTGTGAACGGCACGTGCCCAGGCGTCAGGGGCAAGGCAGGTGAGAGCTGTGGGGGCAGTAGGGTGCCTGGCCCAGCCAACGGCGACACAGGGAAGGGGCTGAGGGGCTCGGGAGCGCGGGGCGGTGGGCGGGGGTACACGCGGAACAGCCCCTCAGGTGCCAGGCGAGGATGGGAGGGCAGCGGGGGACCCCCACGGAAGGGGTCGGGGCCGGGTGGGCGGCGTGGGTCCTCGCCCAGAGGCTCCTCCAGCTCCGAGGCGGCCGAGGCGGCATCGCTGCAGTCGCTGACTGAGCCGCGGGCCAGGCGCCGTGCCACGGCTGCAAAGACACCCGGTGAGCGCGGGGCCTCTGGACCTGGTGACAACACTTCGCCTGGCGTGGCTGGCGGGAACCGGAAGTGCGAGGCACCCGACGGCACTGGCGGCGCGCTCTGTGGCACAGGCCCACCTGCAGGCACACAGCTGCAGTGAGCTAGGGCACAACCCCTCACTCGTGACCTGCTGGTGCCTGCTCCCTACCCAGTGCCCTTCACTTTGGCCCTGCAGCTCCTCTGGTGCCCCTCAGTCCCAACCCGCCACCCCCTGCTCCCCTCCAGTGCCCGTCACTCTCAACTTGCAGCCCTTTGCCCCCTCACTCCCACCCTGCCCCACCCAGTGCTCCTCACTCCTGACCCACAACCCCCCTGCTCCCACCCCTGCTGCCCCTCACTCCCAGCCCACCGCCTCCTGTGTGCCTCTGGCTCCCCCGCTCACCGGCCATGCCCATGTCGATGAAGGGGTAGTTGACCAGCACCAGCTTGTTGAAGTTGAACTTGTAGGTGAAGCGTTTGCCCTTGGTTTTATGCAGGATGCGCTTGTTGTAGTAGTACCTGGGAGGAGGGCAGGCCAGGGGTCAGCACCACAACCACACCCAACCGCCAGGGACCTCAGCCAGCCCAGTGAGTTGGGGCACATGGGGTGCCTGGGTTCTCCAAGTCGGCTGGGGGGGCTACAGCACAGGGATCCCGGGGAGCTGGGACACCTGGGTTCTCCCCCACTCACCGCAGCGCCCGGCTGAGCTTGTCGTAGTTCATCTGGGGCTTGCACTTGCGTACGCCCCACAGCCGCGCCACCTCGTCCGGGTCCTTGATGACGAACTCGCCGTAGTCGCCCTGCCAGGCGATGACATCATGGTACTCCTCCTTGCGCAGCAGCT